CTTAGCTCAAAGCAAAGACTTTTAGCGCAAACCTGGGGCCCATTTTCCTACAAATACAGCATCCATGGGAAGAATGGGAACACACTTAGAGCTCACTGGTAGTAAGCACATAAGTATGGAAAACAAACTCACGCCTTCAGTAGTCCAAAGCCCCAGGACCCTTTTTCTTCTTATCTAGGCTCATGCCGATTCCCCCTTCTATCCCCTCCCATGGCACCAGCATCTCTTCTGGGTCAGTCACTCAGGTGTGGGATGGCTGCTCAGCTCTCAACTACCAGAGGTCCTTTTCTTTTGTGTCCATAGTAAACTGTCCTCTCTGCTGCTGGAGGTCACATGCCCCCAGTCTGCTTCCTCTGGCTAGACTCTGCTTTGCTTCCTGTTAGCTACGGCATCTCCTATTCGGCAGGTAGTTCTAATAACAAGATGAGGGAAGAAAAATACAATGCCCTGCTCCCCTTTACCCTCTGGCAAAGGAACAGGAGTCCCGTGCCACAGAATTGCTTCCCGCCTCACATGACAGCTGCCTGCTCCCACAGCTTCCAGGCTTGTCTTTTTAAAGGTCTCCAGGGACAGGCCAGTTTCCAGGCAGCCCGCGGCCCTCGGCCTGCCCCATTCAATCTGGAGGAGACGTCCACACTTTGTGAGGAAACAACAGGACGTGGGCACACTTCGCACTTAGTTCAGCATGACACACCCCCGTTCCCCCCCCCTTTCTCTTCCCCACGCTATGCTTTTATCAGTTGGGGGGCACCTGCCCTGTAAGTCATCGAGTGTCACCATGAGGACAAGCAGAATGGTGAAAGGCCAGAGGCCGTAAGAGGACCGGCTGAAGGGACTGCAGCTGTTTATCCTGGAGATGGAGAGACTCGGAGGACACATGACAGTCACCTTCAAGTATCTGAAGTCACAGTGTGAAAGATGGAGTCCATTCAATATGTTTGGCCCCAGAGAACAAGAGAAAGAGTAACAGGTGGAAACGGCAAAGAGAGAAACGCAAGCTTCTCCTGAGGACACACTGGCTGACAGTGGGGTTAGCTGAATGTGGGATGGGTCTCCCTCACTGAAGGTCTGCCAGCCAAGGCCAGAGGACCACTGCTGCGTACACAGGGAGGGGGGGAGGCTCTGTCAGATGTGAGTCACAACAGATGGCAGCAGAGGTCCCCTCAAGCTCTGGCCTTCTCTGATAGCACAGAACTGTTCAGTCTGATCATGTCATCCTCCTTCCTATTCAATAAATGCCAAAGGTTCCCTTCTTACCTGTAGATTCATTTTATGTAAATGTAGTCTCTCCTATTAGAATTCACGCTTCTGAAGGGTTGGTGTCACCTGTCACATATAGGGAAAGATTTGACTCTGCATTGGTGGAGTCCACTACAGGGCAGACGGTGGGCACCAGTGTCTCTGGAGAACCACCTGGACAGAGGGCATTCCAGGGATGGGGAACAGAAAGAAGAATCTGGCTTTTCAGCATGTCTCTGATTCCCAGTTTGCCTGGTCCACATAGACGTAGGAGGTAACTTTGCCTTGGGTGAAATCAGGCCTTCTCTCCTGGTTTGAGTTCAATCTTACCCTGTCCTCAGTTAAAGAACTCATTTATTCTTGTATAGTATGTGGTGCATATATATTTATATGTACAAGTATAGATATAGATATGTCAGTATAACTTCTCTTGCTTCTGTTGCTTGGATAAATGATTTCACTCCATATTCACTATTTGTGATGGTCTTCTGTGTAACCAGCAATTGAAGAGAAAGAACCAAGTTGCTCAGTTTAAGATACAGGCTACCCTGCCATTTAAGAGTGACCAGGGATTGGACTTTTTGGCCTAAACTTTGGGCCCCAGAATAGATGTCTGAGTTGTGGCAATTAGAGATAATGATAATCCATACATTTTTTTCAGAGACGAGAAAAAAGAAGACTCAGCCTTTGAAGTACTTCTGGGGCCTACCTGCCTGCCTCTTCACCCAGCTAATTCTTCTGAATGCTCCCATTTAACAGATTAATTATAGCACTTCAGGGACCATCTTACCCCACATTCAGGAGATTCTATGATCACATGCTTACCCCCTCACTCCTTAATAAAAGGATTTGTTCTGTAAAACTTGGACTCGGTCAAAAAAAAGGATTTGTTCTGTGAAGTTTGGATTCAGTCAAAGGGCCGCACTTGAAGACCTAGAGGGTCCCATGTGGCCTCCAGGCTGCAGGTTGCCCACCTCTGGTCTAGAGCATGTCAGTTGTTATTTTTCTGTCAGTTCCAACCATTTAGATCTCATGTAAATGAGGAAGGAGAAGAAGAAGGGAGAAAGGAGAAGAAGAAGATGATGATTTTGATTATATTAAACTGAAAGGTTTTTGCACAAAGCCAATGCATCCAAGATTAGGAGGGAAGCAGAAAACTAGGAAAGAATTTTTACAACCAGTGTCTCTGATAATGGCCTCATTTCTTTTTTTTTCCTTTCTACATTTTATTATTTCAAACCGGGTGAACAATTTGATAAAACACGTGAAAAAAGCAAGGAGGAATCTGATGCTGTTGACTCTGGGGCCTGGGGAAGGGTTCAGGGAGGTGAGGATGAGGGATGAAGATGGGAGCCCTCATGGCAGTGGCCTTTCCTATCATTAGAACTAAGGAGCTACAGTTAATAGAGCTGATGGGAGAGCTGCCGAAGGCGGACACAAGGCACAGGGCTGGTGGGAGGGGGAGATGAGGAGAAGCCCCGGGTGACGTTGGCAGTTGACTCAAGACTTACCCTTTGGAAGCATTTGTTGAGGGGATGGGGGTGGAGTTGTAATGGAGAATTCTTGGGGGTAATTGGAATAAAGAAGAAAAGGAAGAGAGGGAAGGAGATGAGGCTTCAGGTGGCTGGAGAGGCTGCTGTCCCATCATCGGTGGTATGGAACACAGGCAAAGCCCCCCCCCCTCCCCCAACAGCCCCCAGGGCTAGAGCAAGTATTGAGGTGGACAGATATAAACAAACAGACAGCCAAGGCTCAGGCTCCCCTGGAGGAGGTGATCCAGCATAGATCAGGATGACTCAGTCATTCAGTGCAAGACAGTTTTAAATGGTCTTCTCTAAAAAGGTCCCTAAAGTTCTGTTCTATATTTTTAAAAAGCACACACACAAAAGGCCCTAGAAAAACAGAGAGGAGCTTTGGGACTTCTGGGCTGAGGAATGTTGTCTTTGGTGCCACCATCCTACTCCCAGTGGCTTTGTGCTTTGTCCTGGAAGAGCTCCCCCAGGCCCTGGGCCAGCCTGAGAGGGAACAGGCACAGCTGTCGAGGGGCTTCCTTTGAATGCAGGGTTCAGGGGGCCCTAAACATGGACCAGGGGCTGGGCTGGGGGGTGATCTCCTGGCAAGGCAGAAGTGCTAACAGCATTGGCTGGAGAAGTACAGGGTTTCCTTTACCCCAAGCCCAAGTTTCAGAAAGACCAACACCCCTCTCCCCTCAACACAGAATAAAATAGAAGAGAAACCAGGATTCAGCCCAGGGTGGAGCTGATGAGGGGACTGCTTCGGTAGGAGGGCTGAGGAGGTGGCAAAGGCCTCATTTCTGAAATATATAGAGAATTGAGCCATATTTATAAGAATACAAGTCATTCCCCAATTGATAAATTGTCAAAGAATATGAACAGGCAGTTTTTGGAGGAAAAAACTAAAGCTATCTATAGTCATATGAAAAAATGTTCTAAATCACTATTGATTAGAAAAATGCAAATCAAAATGACTCTGAGGTACCACATCACACCTATCGGATTGGCTAACATGACAAAACAGGACAATGATAAATGTTGGAGAAGATGTGGGAAAATTGGAACACTAATGCAGTGTTGGGGGAGTTGTGAAATGATCCAACCATTTTGGAGAGCAATTTGGAACTATGCCCAAAGAGCTATAAAATTGTGCATACCCTTTGCCCCAGCAATACCACTTCTAGGTCTATATCCCAAAGAGATCATAAAAACAGGAAAAACAGGAAAAGGACCCACATGTACAAAAATATTTATAGCAGCTCTTTTTCTGGTGGCAAAGAATTGGAAATTGAGAGGATGCCTGCCCATCAGTTGGGGAATGGCTGAAGAAGTTTGAACAAGGGTAACCGAATAATATTATGCTTTAAGAAATGATGAGCTGGCAGACTTCAGAAAAACCTGGAAAGACTTACATGAACTGATGCAGAGTGAAATAAGCAGAACCAGGAGAACATTGTACACAGTAATAGCCATATTGTGCAATGACTGACTTTGATAGACTTGGCTCTTCACAACAGAGCAAGAATCTAAGACAACTTCCAAAGACTCAACTATGGAAATTGCTATCCACACCCAGAGAAAGAACTATGGAGTCTGAATGAAGATGGAAGCATTCTATTTGTTCTCCTTTTCCTTTGTTATTTTGTTTTATTGCTTCATTCTCATAGTTCCTCCAATTAGTTCTAATTGTTCTTTACATCTAGTGGGAAAACATGCTTAATATAAATGCATGAGTAGAGCCTATATCAGATTGCATGTCATGGGGGTAGGGGAGAAGAGTGAGAGGGGGAGAAAATTTAAAACTCAAAATCTTATGGAAGTGAATACTGAAAACTAAAAATAAACTAATTATCAAGAAAAAAATAAAAAATAAATAAAAAAGAAGTGCATAGAGCCCATTTACCACCTCCTGCCTCAATCCTTTGTTCCAAATTCCTGACTTTCTTATGCATATGTGGCCAGATTCTCATACATAGAAATAATGGATAAGAAAAGAATTTAGGAAGAAGCTCATAAGAAAATATAACTCATACATAACTCAAGCATAAAATATAATTATGTAAATAAATATATGTCAGGTGGTATGCAGGATTGTGCTAAAGAACAAGGACGTGGGGAGAAAGAATGACAACAGGGAAGAAAAACTATCCTTATTTTTGCTTCAAATATTGAAAGAATATCTCGCATTAAGTCATGTTCCGCTACTCCCAAAAGAGGCCATTGTGTCCCGAGAGGGATGTGACAAACCTGTCAAAACCATGCCTTCACTAATGTGTTGGGTTTGTAGCGTCATTTCCTCGCTCAGGGAAAGCCAGCTCTGGAAAGTATAAGTGACCTCATTTTTAATGCTCGCGAGTTCCTTCTTAGAAAACTCGAGCAGCGTCAGTGTCTTCTTGTGGATCATGTGGCACTGCTCCAGCTTCTTACTGTAAGGAAAGAAAAGGAGACCAGCAGCAAGCTTTCAGATTTGGAAACTGACAATCACTGATTCTGTTAGAAAATAATTTAATACTCGAGTTTCTTTGTTATTATACTATTATCTGAAATCTAAGAAGAAACAGTTAATGATCTCAATAGATAATTGGCTATATTCATTTGAAATTTCCTCAGCAATAAAGGTTCTTTTTTTCTCTGTATTCTGGACACTCAAAAACATTTAAAATTTTTAAGATGGTTTAAACACAAGTTCACAGTTAAAAACAAAATTGAATCCACACATTCTGTGGCTATGCCTACACAAGAATGGCAAATACTCTGGCAGGGAAAAATATGAGGAAAAGTAGGCTGGTACAGGTGGGAGCCAGCAGCCCCGAGCTTGAATCTTGACTCTGCTGTTCATTACTAGCCCACCTTGGAGCAAGTCATTTCCCTTTCTGGACATCCGATCTTTAAAATTAAGAGGATGGACTAGACAATCTTTAAGAGTCTATGAAACTCATAAGAAACCTTTGTATGTGGATATAGCTGGCATGTAATGTGATAATTAATTCTACCCTTAGGGCAAAATTTGTTTCAGACTTCCTAAGGTCCATTTTCCAGTAAAAAGTCTACTGAGCTCAACTCAATTCATGGCCTTTTAGGTATTTTCTGATTTCCTTCAGATCAACAAGCTAGAGGAAGAAAATATGATCTTGGACCAAACAATTCCAGAGCTTTAAAGTGTTTGCTTTAAGTATCTTTGTCTTTCCATATTCCTCTACAGTCTTCACAGTCAAAATATTTTATGATGCAAGAATATTTCTCTGACATTAACCTTCTACAACTTTGACAGCCATTCCCCAATAACTAGGCAGATTATTGCAGTTTTGTGCTGTTACAAACTTTCTAAACAGACAGCTGTGCCACCTACAAGTAAACATATTTTAAAACCTCTGTTACTGACACTTCCTTCTTTACGTTCATACTGTTGGAGCTAACTGTTTTTAATCTATTTCACTACTTCAAAAGAGCCATGCTCCCTCCAGTGATGCAAGCAGGATGCAACCTCTCTCCAGGTTCATTAACTGCTATGACCAACACTAAATTCATCACCGGATTGTGAGCCTTTTGATGAGGGCATACGTTTCCTTAGGTGGAGTCAGTCCTCAGGGAGCATGGTCAGTTGCCAGGCCTGTATGAAAAGATGTCCTAGCCTGGTGAGATCTACCAGAACTCCAGTTACAGACTTTTGAGAGTTCAGGATCACCTCCATTCCACAAAGAAGTATCAAAAAGGACTTTTGACTCAGTTTCTAAAACTGAATGAAAGAGATGTGTTAGTGAGTAGCAATCTGACTTTCCAGTCATTCTTAGTAAGAATGCCCCCAAGTTTCTCCATTCCAATAATTCTACATCACTGAAGTATGAAAAAAAAAGAGTTGTCTGAAATCCCATGAAAATTTTTACCATAGCAAAGAAAAATCTTTCCATTCCTATACCTTTTAATGTTTTTTTTTAAACACAAATGCTATTTTTTGCATTGGGACTTCAGCATTATTACCTTTAGGATTTAGCATTAAAACTTTTCTGTACCTATTGACACGACCACATAAATCGTATGATTTCTCTTGTTGATATGATTCACTATATAGTTTTACCAATTATAAATTAATTCAAGTTTAGCAGAACATATTCTATTTAAAATGCAGAGAGAGATACCTCTGAGAGGATCAGGGAGCTCTCAGTCAATCACATCCGTATTCCCAGTCTCCACTTGCTCTGCCACTTTTGGGCCCCATGGGCAGTTTGGGCCCAAGGTGGGATTTAGGACCAGATCCCCTTGGCTCTGAGTCCAGCTCCTTCTCCACCACACTGGGCTGCCTTCCCTTCCTGCTCTGGGGCTACCTCGCCGAGCGCTCCAAGTTGCCCCATCCCCTAGTAGAGCATCTACAGGACTCTGCCTCCTGTCCCCAGCCAGCCTGCCTCTCAGGCAGCAACCCAGTAGCTTAGTCTGCAGCCAGGATCCATGGAGAAGCCTTCCCATTCGGTAGCAGCTGTCAGAGCGCTCACTCCACTGGCACAGCCCTGAGGACCTTGGGTCCCTCCACAACACAATGAGGCATCAGAGGAAAGTTTCTGGGACGTCTTCCCTGGTTCCTAGCTCCAGTGTCTGCTCCATAAGATTATTTCCCATTCACCCTGCCTAAATCCTGTTTGTGCTTCAGCTGTTGACACAGGCAGATGTCTCAGCTATTAGACTGAGGGCCTCAAGAGCAGGGGTTGTTTTCTTGCTCAGTGACTGGCCCATACTAGGTGCTTAATCAATGATCACTGACAGATGACTGACTGATTAGATCATCTGGGAGGATGTGAATCAAACTGTCACAGCAGGAGAAATGGTTGATAGGCTGTGGTCTGCACCTTTGGAGAGAAGCCCACGTGCTGGAGCTCAGGAGCCCTGAGTCTGGCTGAGATCATCCGGCCTGAGGCAAGGAGGGGAGTGGCTTTGGGGTGGGCAGGGCAGGGAGGGTGGCAGAAAGAAGGGAAGTTAGCAATCTTCCAGTCTTATGAGGTGGAAACAGGCCTTGGTGAAGTGCTGGTGCCAGAGCTTGGGCAGCAGAAGCCAATGGAGGCCTGAGCACAGGGGAGGTAGGGTGGGGAACAGATGCAAAGGACAAGTTCCGATTGACAAAATGTTACCTGGAGTCACACGGCACCCTTAGAGAACAGAGGAGAAAATCCTTCCTTCAGCTTTTCCGGGGCATGTTCCATGCTTGTCTTTCCTGGTAGTCCCATTCTCATGGTGGCACAATACACCTGGGACATGTTTGTTGACTAAATTATTGCACTGCATGGCCTGAGCACCCCCCCAGGCTGACTCTACTAGTATAACAACCATGGTGCATGATCAGGAAAGTGGGGTTTTGTGGCAATGTAATATTTAATAAAAGCATTTGGAGATTTTAAACTGTCATTACTGTTTCCTGACTGTGACTACAACTAGGCTTCTATGGGAAAAGGTACTGGCCAAGAGACTGACTTACAAAGAACCTTTTGGCTACAACCCACTTTCAGGGAAAGGTGTATTCTAGAAAGGAAAACATGTATACAAAGGGTGAACTTCTCAGGATAGACACGTGAGAGGCTGGTTCCAGCATGGCCACTTCCTTGCCAGGAGACTCTGGGCAAGTCCCTGCTGCTCCACCGTGGCTCTCCCAGCCTCAGGGTCCTGAAGCCTAAGGCCTCCTCCAGTTCTGATCTTTGGGGTTCTTGTTTCTGGGAGGGGTGTGCCTACATTCTGGGACGCTTGCCAGGATAAGCACGTAGGTTTCCACAGCTCCTCTCAGCTTCTGGAGGATACCCCCGGTGGTCTGCATCAAGCCACGGTCCGCCTGTTTACAACTGCTTCTTTCCCAGAGGCTGATTGGAAATGATGTCAGGGGAAACGTTGAGCAGGAACAAAGCCTTGCTGGAGGCTAGATGATTAAGTCTGATTGCAATTAAACCATTAAGAGAAAAACTTGAAAAGAGCAGCTTGACCTAAAGATCTCCTTGGCCGTGGTGCTGTGCTCCTCGGAGACAGGCTCTCACGTTTTCCAAAACCAAAGGCTAATACAGGTGAACGATGCTCCGATCACTTTCCCTCGGATTCCCAAATCAGATTCCAGGCGAATTCTCCTCCGTGTCCCCAGCGGGATGCCGCTGACTCTCGAGGACACACTATTTGAACTCCTCCAGTCGATCGATCGTGCACCCTTTTGTTCGGCTTTCTTTTGCCCGGAACGTCGGCGGCTCTCTTGGTGCTAAATAAATGAACCAGAGCAGCTCCTCTGCATCAGCCCATGGAGTCATTTCTCCCCAGCGAGTAGCAGGGTCCCTATTCTCAAACAACTTTAAGTAATTAGGTCATTCTGTCAAGTGTATCGGAATCCAGACTGCTCTTAACGCCAGCGATCTTTCAGCCTGAGCTGAAGAAACCTGGGGCAAGCCCCAGGGGACGCAGCGGATAGAGCGCCGGCCTGGAGTCAGAAAGGCTCCTCTTCCTGAGTTCACACCCAGCCTCAGACATTCACTAGCTGTGCAAGTTACTTCACCAGTAAAATGAGCTGGAGAAGGAAAATGGCAAAACACTCCATGTTTCTGCCAAGAAAACCCTAGATGGGGTTTGTGAAGAGTTGGACACTCTACAACAACAGAAACCTGGGCAAAAGGACTGGCTGGTAGATGTAAGGGAAGTACCCACATTCAAAGGTGTAGCCCTGTCTAGTGGAGACCTCCTTCAGCTGACCCACAACTCCACTGACTCAGGAAACAGAGGCTCTTGAGATGGCCAGAAAAGAAGTGTCACTAACCACCACTGGGGACGATGAGCTTCTTCAAAGTTGGATTGGTGCGTGGTCAAAGGAGCTGCCCGAGACCATCCTCGGAGCCTGATAGCTTGACAGACTGTACCAGAGCAGGTGCCTCATCAGTGGAGCCTTCAAGATCCCTGAGTCACCCTCCACAGGACATCCATAGCCTGTCAGGAGGGTCACCTGTAACAGACTGGAGAATAAAATGCAAGGCCACAGGGTATATGTTCCTTAAGGTTGGGGAGGATTTCATTTTTGTCCCTGTAGCCCAGCACAATGCTGTTCCCACATTAGGTAATTAACAAGTGTTTGTGAAATTTCTGGGGATTTAAACTCGACTTATTTTACCCTACCATATGTATTCCTTGTGTTAGGGTCCCTTTTTTGTTGTTGTTCATTTCTACAACCTCAATTGTAAGATGGTGGTATTCCTTGATGCTCTGTGGTGTGAATGGGCTTTGATGGCACCTACCCCTTCTCACTTCCATCCCTTTCTCTGAACCCCCAGAAGTCAGCTCATCAAGTCCTTATATCCCCAAAGGAATTCTCTATAATTCTGTGGTATAATTTCGCTCACAGACATCAAGGCACAGCTAGCATTTAAAAATATATGAAAATATTATCTTTTTGTTCTTGAAAGAAATTAAGGAAAAAAAT